AAATTATATAATATGCTGCCATCTAAACTTTATTCTCTTACATCACACGAGTCTACACCGTACTATATACTGCCATAGACAAACCCAAAATTAAATTATATACTGTATTGCTATAAACCACCTTATACATTTTAATATAACACTATGTATTATTCTACCCACCCTAATGTGTATCACACTGCTATATGTTAACTATACAATTACGATACTATATATTACTTTGTACATTGTATTAAGCATATAAATGTTATACTATTTGTTATTATACACTGTACCATTGACCGTCGTGTCAATGGGTGAGTCGTGGGGGGAAACTTGCAGCGGAGCAAAGAATCCATTCCCTGCGGAGAATACAATGCCAGTGAGTGGAACGCGGTCTGAAAGTCACCGTAAACGTGAACACAATCAGTTAAGATCCGAAATGGTTTATTACGTCCTTCCAATGATTGCTAAGCCAGAATCCATTTTCTCGGTTGAAATTGTCTCTGTGTTTGTATATGTGGATCGCCTCATGAACGAATCTCTCATGATAGCCAGATGGCTTGCAGAGAACCTCTGTCTTGGAGAAGTCAATGTCATGTGAGCCCACTGAGTTGTAACAGTGATCTGCCACGGCTGAGGTGTTTGTCCTACCGTGTTTCAGGTCTGCTTTATGTTTACGGATGCGGTCCGAGACATGTCGTTTTGTTTCTCCAATGTAACTGCTACCACAGAGGCAACTTAGTTTGTAGACGCCAGGGTACTGTATGTCTGGAACCACATCTTTTACAGACGGGACCAGATCACGGATTTTATGTACTGTGTTGAATCGGACCTGGATCTTGTGTTTAATCAGGATTTTTGAGATCTTTTTTGTGACCCCAGCAATGTAGGGTAAGGTGATGGTCTTGAAAGGCTCCTCAACAGGATCCTTCTTGATGGTTGGAGTGATGGCTTTGCGGATTGTGTAGTCGGAGTAACCATTAGCCTTAAGAGCTTGGCGTACGTGTTTGAGTTCACTGGCAATGTGTTCCTGGTCGGAGATGCATTGGGCTCTATGGTATAGAGTCTTGATGAGGGAATTTTTCTGGGATGGATGGTGGTGGGAATCCGGTTTTAGGTAAGCATCTGTATGGGTGGCTTTCCTGTAGACAGAGTGGCTCATTGAAGCATCAGGTCTCCTTTTAATTAGGACATCCAAAAAGGGTAGCTTGCCATCTTTTTCGACTTCCATGGTGAATCTGATGGCTGGGTGTATGGAATTGATGTGGTCGAGAAATTGGTCTAGAGCAGGCTGGCCATGTGGCCAGATGACAAAAGTGTCGTCTACGTACCTCTTCCATAAGATCGGGCGTAGAGTGGCAGTCTGGATGGCGTCAGTCTCAAATTTCTCCATGAAGATGTTGGCTACAACCGGAGATAGGGGGGAGCCCATTGGGGTGCCCTCAGTTTGCTTGTAGAAAGTTCCATTCCAGGTGAAGTATGTATTGGTTAAGCAGTGTCTCACCAGGGGGGGTACCCCAGCATTCAGTCCTTGATTAACCAAGTCTTCAATGATTGTGATGGTGTCAGGTACAGGAACTTTGGTGAATAAGGAAACCACATCAAAACTGACAAGCAGGTCGTCTGGGGACAGGGCAATCCCCTTGATTGTCGATACCAGGTCAGTAGAGTTTAGTACCGCAGAGGTGGTTTTTCCAGTGAAAGGCCGTAGGATTTCAGACAAAAAACGAGCCAATTTATAGGTGGGGGAGTTGATAGTAGAGACAATGGGACGAAGAGGTGTATCTTCTTTATGTATCTTTGGCAAGCCGTATAATCTTGGTGGCCTGGCTGCAGAAGGTTTCAACGAGAACTGTTTGGTCTGATCAATTAATGGGGTTGAATCAGAAATGATTTGCTTGGTTTTAGAGACGAGGCTGTTGGTGGGGTCTCTTTTTAAATCCTTTATATTAAGTTCGCGTGCTTGCTTGCTTGCTTGCGTGCGTGCTTGCTTGCTTAGGACCGTGCAAATCTTTCGGTCGTTTTTTAACCCACTTGCCGTGATCCAATCGAGCTGACATTTTCCACACAGACTCGTTGTGCCAGACAATTATTGATCGTGAAAAAAAATTCCCAAAATTTTACACTTTTTAGGCAAAAAAAATTATTTTACATATATTCAAATAGAACGCATTCATGGCTTTGGCTGAACGTCAGAGTGTAAGAGCCCAGAGCGTAACCCCTCCACAGGCCGTGGTGGAGTAGCGCAGTTGGCAGCGCCCTCGCTTCCAATGCCAAAGGTCGCGGGATCGATCCCCGCGTCCTCCACAGGCGAATATATTTTTAAATCCTTTATATTAAGTTCGCTTGCTTCGGACCGTGCAAATCTTTCGCTCGTTTTTTCACCCACTTCCCGTGATCCAATCGAGCTGACATTTTCCACACAGACTCGTTGTGTGTGACAATTAATTTTCGTGAAAAAAAAATCCAAAATTTTACACTGTTTAGGGAAAACAAATTAAATATTTAATTACCAATTGCTTAATGGTGGCAGACAATCATCTGACCCATAGGTGGCAGCCATCTCAAGCCAGAGGACGAGAGGACTCTAGCCGCCACGCATATAAAGGATTTATAGTGATCGTTGAGTAGTTCTTGGATTTTGTTGTATTCTGTTTTGTCCATGATGACAGTGGCATTGCCTTTGTCGGCTGAGAGGATGACAATGTCATCCCTCTTTTTTAATTGAGCTAATTCAAAACGCTCATCTTTGCTGATGTTGCTAGCTGGCATCTTAGCGTTTTTGAGGGTTGCAGAGATTTCGGATCTTGCTACGTCTGCAGCAATGTGACTCAGGCCCTTGAGAGCTACATCTACTCTAGCAATTATATCATTAACTGGTATGTGTCTAGGTGTGACTGCAAAGTTTAGTCCTTTAGCTAAAACGGATTTCAGACCTTCAGAAATAGAACTGTTACTGCGATTAATTACGACTTTGTTAACATCTAGCTTTTCAATGTGTGGGTCCGGTTTCTTCTTTGAGAGGCGCTTGAATTTGGAAATCAAGTTGTCCTTACATTTGGTCCCACCTCCCTCCCCTCCAAACCAGCTTAAATATACGCTCAAAGCTTGGTGGTGTTTCATTCTTCACCTGAGGACGGCTGCTTGCGTTGTGGCCGAAACGTCGTGAGAATTATTTTATTATGTTTTATTTTTATTATTTTATTACTTCCCTTCTACGTGACTTTACCGAAAGAACCAAGAAGATGAATCCCTGCAGTCACGAAAGCTTTAAATCGAAATTTAACCGCCTCTACGGGGAGGGTTTCTACATAACTTTGAGATCCTTCAACAAGCTCCGGGATAAGAAGGCTCAGCTAATCGAGTCTCTCACCTTTCTGAAGAGATGCCGCGACTCTAAGGTAATACCAAACGCATTTACACTAACATCTGCTGCTGTAACTTCTTCTAATACGAAACGAATTCTGTCTAGAACTAGCTTAGCTCTTATCTCAGAGAAAATCAGACTTACGCGCACCGAACTAGATCAGCTAGACAAGACACTCTACAAATCACACTTATCTTTGAGTGCAACAATGTCCACATCGGATTGGGAACATGTAGTTAAAATGACTGCCTCTTCAGCTGCCGCTATGTCGATCAAATGTAAGGACAACTTGATTTCCAAATTCAACCGCCTCTCAAAGAAGAAACCGGACCCACACATTTAAAAGCTAGATGTTAACAAAGTCGTAATTAATCGCAGTAACAGAGTCTATTTCTGAAGGTCTGAAATCCGTTTTAGCTAAAGGACTAAACTTTGCAGTCACACCTAGACACATACCAGTTAATGATATAATTGCTAGAGTAGATGTAGCTCTCAAGGGCCTGAGTCACATCGCTGCAGACGTAGCAAGATCTGAAATCTCTGCAACCCTCAAAAACGCTAAGATGCCAGCTAGCAACATCAGCAAAGATGAGCGTTTTGAATTAGCTCAATTAAAAAAGAGGGATGACATTGTCATCCTCTCAGCCGACAAAGGCAATGCCACTGTCATCATGGACAAAACAGAATACAACAACAAAATCCAAGAACTACTCAACGATAGCAGCTATACAAAAATAAAAAGAGACCCCACCAACAGCCTCGTTTCTAAAACCAAGCAAATCATTTCTGATTCAACCCCATTAATTGATCAGACCAAACAGTTCTCGTTGAAACCTTCTGCAGGCAGGCCACCAAGATTATACGGCTTGCCAAAGATACATAAAGAAGATACACCTCTTCGTTCCATTGTCTCTACTATCAACTCCCCCACCTATAAATTGGCTCGTTTTTTGTCTGAAATCCTACGGCCTTTCACTGGAAAAACCACCTCTGCGGTACTAAACTCTACTGACCTGGTATCGACAATCAAGGGGATTGCCCAGTCCCCAGACGACCTGCTTGTCAGTTTTGATGTGGTTTCCTTATTCACCAAAGTTCCTGTACCTGACACCATCACAATCATTGAAGACTTGGCTCATCAAGGACTGAATGCTGGGGTACCCCCCCTGGTGAGACACTGCTTAACCAATACATACTTCACCTGGAATGGAACTTTCTACAAGCAAACTGAGGGCACCCCAATGGGCTCCCCCCTATCTCCGGTTGTAGCCAACATCTTCATGGAGAAATTTGAGACTGACGCCATCCAGACTGCCACTCTACGCCCGACCTTATGGAAGAGGTACGTAGAGGACACTTTTGTCATCTGGCCACATGGCCGGCCTGCTCTAGACCAATTTCTCGACCACATAAATTCCATACACCCAGCCATCAGATTCACCATGTTTGCCTGGTTGTTGTTTTTTGGCGATCCCGCGTCGAAAGTGGCTCCAGAGAAATTGCTGCCGGTAGCAATAACTTGTTTAAAAGTCATTAGTCTCTGTCTCTTTCTCTCTCTCTCTACCGACGCATTGCGTCCTCCGCTCCGGTGGCACGGATGGTGCAGCGGTCCCTTTTTCGTTACGAAGGAGAACGAGGCTGACCAGAAAGGCATTGCTCATAGCGACATGCGATTGGTTTATTGGTAGTTACGGCGACATAATGAACGCACGCAATTAGAAAATTATCTTCTTAAGCAGTAAATATAAAAAACACAATTTGCAATTATACAGACCGGACAGTGCTTGTGCATGGGTGCATAACAGGTTCTATAGTGCTGGTTGCATTAACAAGCGTGGTGAAGTAGTGGATAGACCCCAAGGGCTGGCTGTGTGTGTGTATACATGGTTGTGTTACCATTCGATAATAGACGATGCCCCAATGATCACAGTGTAGTGCAGTAGCGGGTGACGTCATAATTAGCACATCATTTGTTTTACTTTACTCGGTAAGAATTTGTTGTTTTCTTCTCAGAAGCGACCGGGCCCATCACAAATGATAGCCCTACGAAGTGGCTTATTTGTCATCATCATCATCATGTGGAAATGTATAGAAGCCATATACTCTAAAAGGCGTGAGAAAAATCCATGCCACCACCGGGAGAGACGCGCAAATATACAGCAGCAGGCGTCAGGGTCGTGGATCGAACCTACGACCTCCTGTATGCCAGGCGAGGTAGTTAACATCTCGCCACCGCGGCGTCCATAGGCCTCTGAGCAACACGCCTTACCTCAAAAAAGTTTAGTTTTCTTCGTATATATTGCTCAAGTAATTTGTTTACATTTCTTATACTGTGCACTCCTATCGTGAGTTTGTATTGGTCATTGATGTCACGTTCTGACCCCGTGCTCGACTGGACATCTTGTGATCAAATAGCTTCACAGCTCATCGGATTCCTTCCACTAAACATTTATATTCCGATTACCCGCGCTATAGATTGTCAGATGACATCATTCTGATCGGCTTTGTCAATATCCCGTGGCGTGATCAATGCAATGTTTCCGTTTTTGTTTCGGTCTGTTTGTGTTTCAAAGCAAGCTCGGAGCGAGCCGAGATGAACCCAGCAGCGACGTTGGGCGAGCGGCGTCCCCCGGCCAAAGCCCCCGTCTCCTCCTCCTGCGGCGTCACGTCTAGAACTTACAGCCCTGCAGGTACACCGACACGTCGAAGTCCTGACACTTCGACTTCCAGCCATACCTGCAACGGAAGGGAGCCGCCGTTCGTTCGTTAGTTCATCCCGCTCGTTCGTTCGCTCGCTCGCTCTGGGTCAGTTCGTTGACTCGGCCAGTCCGTTCAGTCACCCCTAGTCCGTTCGTTCAGTTAGTTGTGCGTAGTGGCCCAGCCGCTGGTTGCAAAGAGTCGTGCTTCGAATCCGGGAGGCCACCATGGTTAACACTGCGGTGTGTTTTAACCCCCGACAATACTACGAAGCGTCGTCAAATTCACTCGCAGTGCGTTAGTGTGCGCTGGTGTCATGGTCCACATTTAAAACAAAAATCGCACCGCAAATGACTCCTTTGAGATCCCACAGCAGCAGCTGTCTCCCCCCTCGACTGACAGACCGATACCCGCTCAGAGCGCCCGGTGCTGAATCCACCTGGTGCCTCACAGGGACAGCTGCTACTGGGGGTGCCCCCTTGCAATGGCGTTGACATGCGATGCAAGTCTCTTATCGCGTGGGAAGCTCGCTGAGACTCCCCAGTGTTGTATCACACAACTAGAGGCCGACCGACATCCGGTTTCGGTTTCGGCGCCAAAAGTTGGAAAATGGCCTCTTTCGGCGTAGTTTCGGTTTCGGACGAAAGTAAATTTTTTACTTTCAGTTGACTTTCGGTTTCGGCCGAAACCAGAAAATCAGTTTTGGTCGGCCTCTACACAAAACTCAAACTCACGGTTTATTCACTCGCACGCACACACTAATACATGTGAAGTATTGGAATTGACGGCAGGAACTTCTTGACGGGTAACACACTTTTATTAAATCTTGACGTGTCACAATACAACGGGTGGTCTCTATCCTTTGGACTATACACTCCACTTAACTCGTGTAGACTCTATGCTTCTGGCTACACACAATACACTTGACTCGTGTAGACCCTATGCCTCTGGCTACACACAATACACTTGACTCGTGTAGACCCTATGCCTCTGGCTACACACAATGCATTCGGCTCGTGTAGACCCTATGCCTATGGCTACACACACTACACTCGCCTCTGGGTTACACAGAGTCCCGGTCCCGTTAGGACAGCGGGACTAGGTACCGCAGGGCCCTATGTCTTCATCCCCGTCTTCATTCTTCGCTGGTTACATACTGCCCTTACGCCTGTGTGCATCCCCTTTTATAGCCCCTGCTCACGAGAGACGGAGCTGATGCGGACGTCGACGTGAGCATCGCTCCTTAGTGAACCAATCACGACGCACTCTCTCTACGATCCGTTTTCCCCAGCGCGTGTTAACACTACTCCACCAATCACACCGCGCTGCCACCCGATCACTCCCTCTCAGCGCGTCACCGGCACACAGCCAATCAGTACCCCGTAACCCACGACCCCGTGCTGACCCCTGATCCTCCTCCGTCAGCGCGCGTCACCACATACACAGCCAATCATTACGCGCTGGCATACGATCCCTAATCCCAGCGCGTATCACCACTACATCACCCCCTCCCACATAGCTTGCAGCCGGCCCGGCTGTTAACCAACAACACAACCCAACGTTAACGCAATAATAAAAAAAAGAACCCCATCCCCCCCAGTGTGCCCCGTAACGCAACAACAACAACACTTAATTAGGAAGCAATATACAGCCCGATGAACAACACAATAAAAGCGAACTCCAGAAAACGAACGCGCCAAGTGTCTCTGTGACTAAACGCAGTGACGAGGCGCTCCGGCTGCCTCGACTCCTCACGTGGTAGGTCATAAAAAGTAGCGCGACCTAGCGCGAGTCCGTCTGGCCGGTCCGTCGTATGGGACGGGACGCTGGCGACCGTCCGGTGGCTCCTGCAGCTCTAGACGGCGCGGATCGGGCCTGGAAGGACCGGCCCCGCCGCGAAGATCCGGCCGCCGGTGGTCGGCAGCTGTCAGTTCCGAGACACCTGGGAGCGGATCAGGCGGAGACATGTGAGGATCAGGCAAAGACATTTCCCCCTTAGGGTCATCGGTCACGTCACATGCTCGGCCCTCACGACACAAGGGGAGGCCATATGGAGGCGAGAACGGTTTCAGTCGGGAGGGGTGGACGTACCAACGGCGTTTTCCCCATTTTATCTGAACGCACTGGGGGCGTGCAACCCGCACGACCTCCACGGGTCCCCGCCATGGCTTCAACAATTTAGGCGACGTAGCCAAAGGTGCCTGAGGGCAATGCAGCCAGGCCCTGTCACCTGGTTCCCAGTTGTGCACGGACACCTTCCGTGCACGCAACCGCTCGTTTGCAATTTGGCGAGCCCGTGAATTAAGCCGTGCGGCCTCCCTTGCCTCTGTCAGCTTATGAATATTAAATTTAATATGCTCTGCCAATTTCGAATTAGTTCGTGGTGCGGGCAGGCCCAGCTGCGTTTCCATGGGCGGGTCGGCTTCCCGACCGTACATCAGATAAAACGGGGAAAATCCCGTAGCTGCATGGGGGGCCATTCTATACGCGGCGAGGACCCCAGGGACCTGCAGGTCCCAATCAACATGTGCCTCACACACCTGCTGGCACAGCATAGAAGTCAATGTCCTGTGGAGCCTCTCCACCATCCCGTCCGTCTGCGGGTGGTACGGGGAGGTACGCACCTTCTTAGTACCCAACAGGTCGCACACCTCTTGCAGTAATTTACTCGAAAAATTTTTCCCTTGGTCGGTCAGCAAGCGTTCGGGAGCCCCCTTGTCCAGGACGTAGCCCTGGACAAAGGCGTCCGTCACAGCCGCCGCCGACTGGTTGGCGAGTGGCCACGCCATAGGCCACCGGGTAAAATATTCGACCCCCACCAACAGGTACTTATTACCCCTAGGCGTGACTGGAAAAGGCCCCAGAATATCGAGTGCAACGAGCTCGTTAGTGCGCGAGACCTGAATAGATTGCAGCGGTGGATTAGCTGCCACGGGCGGTGGTTTCCGTCTGGCGCACTCAACACAACCCTTCAGAATATTCACCACGTCACTCCCCATTCCCGGCCAATAATAGTCACGCTGAAGCAGGGCAAGCGTTTTGTTAACTCCCAAATGCAAGAGGCGTTCGTGTGCGGCCAAGACAACCTTCCCCCTCACAGCAGAAGGCACCACAATCGCGTGCCGCCGGGACAAACTGTCCCATCTCATTAACAGGCCTTGCTTAAGTACGTAGGAGCCAGTTCGTTCATGGTCACCTTCGGAACCCCCCGTCCTGCGGCGCAATGCTAGCAGGGAGCTGTCCGCCATTTGGAGACGGCCCCACTCAATCAGCGACAGTGAGAGCAGCGAGTCCTGACCCCCTGGGGTAGCGGGAACATCCCCAATTGGTGTGCCCGCGGTCGCAACCAACGCCTCCATACCTTCCGTAACTGGCGGTTTACAGCGCGCCGATCCCGATAAGCACGCACATTTGTGACAAGGCAACAACCGCGACAGGGCATCGGCATTTGTGTGTCGCAACCCCTTACGGTATGTAGTCGTGAACTGATAGTCCTGGAGGACTTCCAACCACCGCGACAATTGGCCCGAGGGCTGGGCGACCCGCAATGAATACTGGAGCGCCGCGTGGTCCGTCCGGACCGTAAAGTGACGACCATAGAGATATGGTCTGAATTGTTGTACGAAAAAAACAATGGCAAGCAGCTCGCGACGGGTGACGCAGTAGCGCTGCTCTGCCGGCGACAACACCCTGCTACCATAGGCGACCACCCGTTCGACCCCCCCAACGACTTGGGACAGCACCCCCCCAATGCCCGTGTTGCTAGCATCCGTGTCTAGCAAGAAGGGACTCGCAAAGTCAGGATAGCGCAAGGGTGGGGCCCCTACCAAGGCGTCCCGGAGGGAGCAGAATGCAGCCTCCTCCTCCGGTCCCCATCGGAACTTCACTCCTTTCGCCGTTAGAGCGTGCAAGGGTTTTGCAATGGTGGCGAAGTGCTCAACGAATCGGCGATAATAAGAAGCAAAACCGATGAAACTGCGCACGTCCGAAACTGACGTGGGCGTCGGCCACGAACTGACACAGTCCGTCTTCGCAGGATCGGTAGAAATCCCCGAAGAGTCGACAATGTGACCCAAGTATCTAACGGATTTACGAAAAAGGTGGCATTTGGCCGGTTTAAACTTTAATTTAGCCGATCGCGTTCGCAAGAACACCCCTCTCAATCGCTGGAGGTGTTCTTCAAACGTTTTACTGAAAACAATGACATTGTCAAGGTAAATCAGGCACGTATCCCATTGCAAGCCCGACAAAACCAACTCCATAAGGCGCTGAAACGTCGCAGGAGAGGAGTGAAGTCCCATGGGTAACCGGTTAAACTGAAACAGGCCCCCTGGAGTCCGAAATGCAGTCTTAGGCTTAGACTCTTCGTCGAGTGGCAACTGCCAGAATCCGGATAATAAATCAAGAGTCGAAAAGTATCGCGCACCAGACAATGCATCGAGGGACTCGTCCATCCTGGGGAGCGGATACGCGTCGGCCACAGAGATCTTATTCAGGCGACGGAAATCGACGCAAAATCGCAAGGACCCATCCTGCTTTTTAACGAGCACAATAGGTGCTCCCCAAGGACTGGAAGAAGGCGAAATAATGTCGGCTTCTAGCATATCGTTAACGGCCGACTGAACATGTTCCTTCTCAGCAGGACTCAGTCGGAAGGGATTTAGCCTGACCGGTGCCGCATCGCCCGTTTCAATGTGGTGGCGTAACAGGTCCGTGCACCCAATGTCATACTTATGTTTACTGAAGACATCCGAAAATTCAATCAGCAACCCGCGCAGCGCACCCAACTGTACCGCTGACAAATCGTCAGAGTCCGCGCACAGCGAATCGACCCATTCGAGGTCCTCCTTCGGTTTAACGTTTTGCATGGGGCTCGGATCAGCCTGCGCAACTAGCCGCTCTTCCGCAGGGACCCGCGCCGCGTGAGCTAGCACGGTGCCCTGCTGAATGACGGCCGGCCGCGACCCAGCGTTTAAAACCATCACAAACGGATCCCTGTCAGCCCCAACCAAAGTGTGAGCCACCGACAAATCGAGACCTCCAACAGCCCTATTAGAAGGACCCAAAAGCATGCCTTGTTCCGAGGCCTCCCTCACCCACGGTTTCCGCAACCGGTACGGAATTAACATTTGTGAACCCGGGGGCACGTGCACGGTCTGTGTCGCTAACGCTTGTATCGTAGCGCACGCCGTCCGAATTTCAGTAGGGCTCGTCAAAAATGAAATACGGCGACCCGATGGTAGTTCAATGCAACGCTGATCAATGAGAATTTTGATGGGCATTTTCGCCAAAAAACAGTGCCCAATAGACAAGGAACCGCCAGGGAGGACGAAACGAAAACGGGTCCCGACAATTTGATATCTCCAATGCAAATGGACGCCCTAATCTGACCGATAATGCCCAACGATCCCCCGTTAGCGGCGTAAAATGGCACATCCACCGGAAGAAGCGGACGACATTGTACAGGGAGAATGTTATAAATGAGGTCCGATATAATAGTCGCCGATGCCCCCGTGTCCACTAACACCCTGACCTCGACCCCATCAATAGATCCCGTAACGACGGATGAACCCGCTGAGGCAGCCACTATTCTGTGCCCCAACTCCGACCATTTAATGTCTCCCCGGTCCCGGCCGAACCCCCCTCGCCGAACCGAATCCCCGAACCCTACTCGGCTCTCCTCCGCCGCAACGCGACGGCCCATGCGTGTCGAGTATGCGGGCCGAGTATGTGAGGTGCCGCGACTTGCCGGGGTTTGTAGGGATGACTTGGGGCCTTGTTCGTCGTCCAGCCGAGGTCCCATGGCGCGCTGACGTGGGGCGCGGCAACCGGAGGCCACATGGCCCCGGAGGCCGCAGTTATAACACGTGATGACAGTCGTCGGAGATCTCGGTTGCTCCAGCTTGCGGGCCGATCGCAGAGGCGAACGACCCCCCCGACCTCCAGTCCCCCGGTCGTCCCGCGATGAACGCCTTTTCTCGTGGGCTGACGACTTGGGGCACGGTGACTACCGGGCCCGGAGCTGAGGCCACGGCAGCGTTGCAGACGACCCTCTGTTTACGTTGAAGGACCTCGTGCGCTTGTATGCTCGTAGCGACCCGTAAGGAAGAAATATCAGTCTCGTCGGCCGTGTTGATGGGGACCCCCAGGTCCTGCGCCAACTTGAGCAGTTGCTCCAAAACCATCGCATCTTGGCCCTCCTCGTCCATACGAGGGAACGCGGCATCGGCGAGAGCCAGCAACGCCGTGCGATAGGCGAGCACGATCTCCGTGTCCGCCTTCCGTCTTGCATAAAAATGATGGCGACACGCCGAGGGAGGACCGTAGACCTTGGCCATGAGAGCCAGCGCATCCTTGAGCGTGGAGCGGTCCGACCTGCGTGCGGACGTGAAGGCCGCGAGCGCGTTGTCGTCCAGCATGGCAGGCAGTGCCCGCAGTGCCGTAGCGTCGGACCAGGCGGACATCTCCTGATGCGCCAAAAACCTGCGCTGAAATTGGCCCCAGTCCCCGCCTTCCGCCTTGAAGGCTGACAACGTGGGAAGGCGCTGTTGAAAGATGAAGTCGTCCTCCGCCTCGTGCTTCCTCTCCGCCGCCCCGTCGGTGTGTAAGATGGCGGCCCCAGTGGCGGGTGTTTGATGGCGGTCCGCAGCGCGCGTTGGTGACGTAAGCAGGCGCGCTTGGAGAACCGCTGCCACGTGGTGATGGCCGTTCCCGCCAAAAGTCGGCGCAGATGAAATGGCGGGAATCGCCAAGTCATTTTGGCGGGAATCTGCGGGGCGACCCTGTAGAACGTCCGCCGCCGTCCCCGCTCCTCCCGACGAGCTGATCTCCGCCAGGATGGACGCGGCGGCGAGCAGCAGCTCCGCCAGACGGGAGTGCGCCTCGCGGAGCACGGCGTCGGTCCCCCGTCGCTCGTCCGGCGCCGTTGGCGGATCCTGCAGCGTGGGCAATTCCTCGTCCTCACCCCCCGATGCCAGCTGGCCCGAGTCGTCGAGGTTGTCCCCGCAGTCAATCCCGTGGGTCCGACGGGTCTTCCTTGTATCCATGCTTGGAAGACCGTTTCACTTCTGACGCCAGTTGAAGTATTGGAATTGACGGCAGGAACTTCTTGACGGGTAACACACTTTTATTAAATCTTGACGTGTCACAATACAACGGGTGGTCTCTATCCTTTGGACTATACACTCCACTTAACTCGTGTAGACTCTATGCTTCTGGCTACACACAATACACTTGACTCGTGTAGACCCTATGCCTCTGGCTACACACAATACACTTGACTCGTGTAGACCCTATGCCTCTGGCTACACACAATGCATTCGGCTCGTGTAGACCCTATGCCTATGGCTACACACACTACACTCGCCTCTGGGTTACACAGAGTCCCGGTCCCGTTAGGACAGCGGGACTAGGTACCGCAGGGCCCTATGTCTTCATCCCCGTCTTCATTCTTCGCTGGTTACATACTGCCCTTACGCCTGTGTGCATCCCCTTTTATAGCCCCTGCTCACGAGAGACGGAGCTGATGCGGACGTCGACGTGAGCATCGCTCCTTAGTGAACCAATCACGCCGCACTCTCTCTACGATCCGTTTTCCCCAGCGCGTGTTAACACTACTCCACCAATCACACCGCGCTGCCACCCGATCACTCCCTCTCAGCGCGTCACCGGCACACAGCCAATCAGTACCCCGTAACCCACGACCCCGCGCTGACCCCTGATCCTCCTCCGTCAGCGCGCGTCACCACATACACAGCGAATCATTACGCGCTGGCATACGATCCCTAATCCCAGCGCGTATCACCACTACACATGTACAGCCCTTTGTCAATCCACTGCTGCACGAAGACATCCTCACGTCGCATTGAGTCATGTGGGATTCTTTGACCATACTTCACCACCCTGGTCAGTGCGAGGACTGGTTCAGATATCACTCGTCACTGATGTTAGCCGTGGCAGGGAATTGAACTTAAATAATTTGTGGTCTTATGGTAACAAGTGAACCACCGTGCCACCTTGACGCTGCTGGTGATCGAGCAGATGATGACGCTGATAATGATGCCGACAATGATATGGCTGATAACGCCGAAGATGACGATGCTGATGATGATGATTCCGCTGGTGATGACGAGGATGATGCCGATGTGGATGGTGCTGGCGAAGCTGCCGATGCAGATGACGATGATGCCGATGACGATGCCGATTCGTGGTGAACCGTGCCGTGTCCTGCTGCTGCGTGTGCCGTGGCTACGCACCAGGCCTTCAGTCCCTGCTGCTTGAGAATCAACTTGGCGCAGGCGACGGACTTTGTGATGTCGTCGTCAAGGAGATCTGTGAACAACAGCAAGGACGTTGAGAAGAAGCAGCAGAGCGGTGGCAGAGATGCGGAGAGTGGCACCGCTGAGCTCCTGGGTTCCAACGCGGGTGTTCGGCGCTGACGGTGATTACACCGGCAGTGAGATGGTGGTCTCAGCCCGGTCACCATAAACTCACATAGAGCCCCATAGACTTACACAGAGAACCATCGACTGAAGTAGAGACCCATAGACTTACACACAGATACATAGACTCACATAGAATCACAGACTCACACAGAAAGCCATGGATTAAACGGACACAGACTCCTCGCACAGAGACACATACACTCACACATCTAACCCTAGACCCACAAAAAAGCTATATTACATTTCTCAACATAATAGAAGTTTCAGGAAACGGGCCTTCATAGCACATCAAAAAGGCTTCGACAGGACACGTCACGTGGCCTGTGGTCAAGGACAATAACAGAGTGGCAGCCAAGGAATAGAGAACGCGTCTGAGAAGACCTCCACGGTGGAGACGGAGTGGTGAGATCAGCTCGTGCGGCGGTGTTGGTGCCGACTTTTCAGTTTTCAGTTTCATGTATTAGGTATAGCCCTGTGAGCCATGCAGCTCTTGACTCAAGTGCAACCGCAACAAACAAAAACATGAACAAGAAACATCTTAAAGTGACGACACGCAACAGAAAAATCCACGAAAAAACGGCAAAGTTTTCCAGAAAAAGCACCGTATATCAACGCTGTGTGCAAAAATCCCAGTGGGATGCAAGTTAAACAATAACAACCATAATACGATTTAGATTAAAGTTATCAGGCTAACTCTGTACTTCAACAAACAAACATGGCTAAACCAAAACGTTTTCAAAATCACCAAAATAAAGCTATAAAAACAATGTAACAGTGACCATAGGAACTGTGATTCAAATTTAACAATAAACGATATACATAACATGTACGACCAAACATTGCAGCCATAGCTGGCTGCACGAGTCACTCCATAACAGCAGGAGCATCAGTAGCAGCGTGTGTGGCCGAGCGCCGGGCACACGGCGCCGTGATCTGGCCGAGGTAGGAGGGGTCCAAAGGGCCCGGAGGAAAGCCACGCAGAGCAGGGGGAGAGCAGAGAGAGAGTCCACTCAGAGAGGAGCCAGAGTGAGGAGTAGACTGTGACCGACGACGATGGCGATGATTATGGCGATAATGAAGACAATGACGAGCATAATGGCGATGACGATTATGATGACGGTAATGAAGACAATGGCAATGATGACGATTATGATGACGGTAATGAAGACAATGGCAAATGATGACGATTATGATGACGGTAATGAAAACAATGGCGATGATGACGATTATAATGACGGTAATGAAGACAATGGCAAATGATGACGATTATGATGACGGTAATGAAAACAATGGCGATGATGACGATTATGATAACGGTAATGAAGACAATGGCGATGATGACGATTAAGATGACGGTAATGAAGACAATGGCAATGATGACGATTATGATGACGATAATGAAGACAATGGCGATGATGATTATGATGACGGTAATGAAGACAATGACGATGACGATTATGATGACGGTAATGAAGACAATGACAATGATGACGATTATGATGACGGTAATGAAGACAATGACAATGATGACGATTATGATGACGGTAATGAAGACAATGACAATGATGACGATTATGATGACGGTAATGAAGACAATGGCGATGATGACGATTATGATGACGGTAATGAAGACAATGACGATGACGATTATGATTACGGTAATGAAGACAATGGCAATGATGACGATTATGATGACGGTAATGAAGACAATGGCAATGATGACGATTATGATGACGGTAATGAAGACAATGCCAATGATGACGATTATGATGACGGTTATGAAGACAATGGCAATGATGACTATTATGATGACGGTAATGAAGACAATGGCGATGATGACGATTATGATGACGGTAATGAAGAAAATGGCAATGATGACGATTATGATGACGGTAATGAAGACAATGGCAATGGTGACGATCATGATGACGGTAATGAAGACAATGCCAATGATGACGATTATGATAACAGTAATGAAGACAATGGCAATGATGACGATTATGATGACGGTAATGAAGACAATGCCAATGATGACGATTATGATGACGGTAATGAACACAATGCCAATGATGACGATTATGATAACGGTAATGAAGACAATGGCAATGATGACGATTATGATGACGGTAATGAAGACAATGGCAATGATGACGATTATGATGACGGTAATGAAGACAATGGCAATGATGACGATTATGATGACGGTAATGAAGACAATGGCAATGATGACGATTATGATGACGGTTATGAAGACAATGGCAATGATGACGATTATGATGACGGTAATGAAGACAATGGCGATGATGACGATTATGATGACAGTAATGAAGACAATGGCAATGATGACGATTATGATGACGGTAATGAAGACAATGACGATGATGACGATTATGATGACGGTAATGAAGACAATGGCGATGATGACGATTATGATGACGGTAATGAAGACAATGGCGATGATGACGATTATGATAACGGTAATGAAGACAATGGCGATGATGACGATTATGATGACGGTAATGAAGACAATGGCAATGACGATTATGATGAAGGTAATGAAGACAATGGCGATGATGATGATGATGGCAATGAAGACAATGGCAATGACGATTATGATGATGGTAATGAAGACAATGGCGATGATGACGATTATGATGAAGGTAATGAAGACAATGGCGATGACGATTATGATGACGGTAATGAAGACAATGGCGATGACGATTATGATAACGGTAATGAAGACAATGGCGATGACGATTATGATGAAGGTAATGAAGACAATGGCAATGATGACGATTATGATGACAGTAATGAAGACAATGGCGATGACGATTATGATGACGGCAATGAAGACAATGGCAATGATGACGATTTTGATGACGGTAATGAAGACAATGGCGATGACGATTATGATGACGGTAATGAAGACAATGGCAATGATGACGATTATGATGACGGTAATGAAGACAATGGCAATGATGACGATTATGATGACGGTAATGAAGACAATGGCGATGACGATTATGATGACGGTAATGAAGACAATGGCAATGATGACGATTATGATGACGGTAATGAAGACAATGACAATGATGACGATTATGATGACGGTAATGAAGACAATGACAATGATGACGATTATGATGACGGTAATGAAGACAATGGCGATGATGACGATTATGATGACGGTAATGAAGACAATGACGATGACGATTATGATTACGGTAATGAAGACAATGGCAATGATGACGATTATGATGACGGTAATGAAGACAATGGCAATGATGACGATTATGATGACGGTAATGAAGACAATGCCAATGATGACGATTATGATGACGGTTATGAAGACAATGGCAATGATGACTATTATGATGACGGTAATGAAGACAATGGCGATGATGACGATTATGATGACGGTAATGAAGAAAATGGCAATGATGACGATTATGATGACGGTAATGAAGACAATGGCAATGGTGACGATCATGATGACGGTAATGAAGACAATGCCAATGATGACGATTATGATAACAGTAATGAAGACAATGGCAATGATGACGATTATGATGACGGTAATGAAGACAATGCCAATGATGACGATTATGATGACGGTAATGAAGACAATGCCAATGATGACGATTATGATAACGGTAATGAAGACAATGGCAATGATGACGATTATGATGACGGTAATGAAGACAATGGCAATGATGACGATTATGATGACGGTAATGAAGACAATGGCAATGATGACGATTATGATGACGGTAATGAAGACAATGGCAATGATGACGATTATGATGACGGTTATGAAGACAATGGCAATGATGACGATTATGATGACGGTAATGAAGACAATGGCGATGATGACGATTATGATGACAGTAATGAAGACAATGGCAATGATGACGATTATGATGACGGTAATGAAGACAATGACGATGATGACGATTATGATGACGGTAATGAAGACAATGGCGATGATGACGATTATGATGACGGTAATGAAGACAATGGCGATGATGACGATTATGATAACGGTAATGAAGACAATGGCGATGATGACGATTATGATGACGGTAATGAAGACAATGGCAATGACGATTATGATGAAGGTAATGAAGACAATGGCGATGATGATGATGATGGCAATGAAGACAATGGCAATGACGATTATGATGATGGTAATGAAGACAATGGCGATGATGACGATTATGATGAAGGTAATGAAGACAATGGCGATGACGATTATGATGACGGTAATGAAGACAATGGCGATGACGATTATGATAACGGTAATGAAGACAATGGCGATGACGATTATGATGAAGGTAATGAAGACAATGGCAATGATGACGATTATGATGACAGTAATGAAGACAATGGCGATGACGATTATGATGACGGCAATGAAGACAATGGCAATGATGACGATTTTGATGACGGTAATGAAGACAATGGCGATGACGATTATGATGACGGTAATGAAGACAATGGCAATGATGACGATTATGATGACGGTAATGAAGACAATGGCGATGACGATTATGATGACGGTAATGAAGACAATGTCAATGATGACGATTATGATAACAGTAAAAAAGACAATGGCGATGACGATTATGATAACGGTAATGAAGACAATGGCGATGATGACGATTATGATGAAGGTAATGAAGACAATGGCGATGACGATTATGATGACGGTAATGAAGACAATGGCGATGACGATTATGATAACGGTAATGAAGACAATGGCGATGACGATTATGATGAAGGTAATGAAGACAATGGCAATGATGACGATTATGATGACAGTAATGAAGACAATGGCGATGACGATTATGATGACGGCAATGAAGACAATGGCAATGATGACGATTTTGATGACGGTAATGAAGACAATGGCGATGACGATTATGATGACGGTAATGAAGACAATGGCAATGATGACGATTATGATGACGGTAATGAAGACAATGGCGATGACGATTATGATGACGGTAATGAAGACAATGTCAATGATGACGATTATGATAACAGTAAAAAAGACAATGGCGATGACGATTATGATAACGGTAATGAAGACAATGGCAATGATGACGATTATGATGACAGTAATGAAGACAATGGCAATGATGACGATTATGATGACGGTAACGAAGACAATGGCAATGATGACGATTATGATGACGGTAATGAAGACAATGGCGATGACGATTATGATGACGGTAATGAAGACAATGGCAATGATGACGATTATGATGACGGTAATGAAGACAATGGCGATGACGATTATGATGACGGTAATGAAGACAATGGCAATGATGACGATTATGATGACGGTAATGAAGACAATGGCGATGACGATTATGATGACGGTAATGAAGACAATGGCGATGATGACGATTATGATGACAGTAATGAAGACAATGGCGATGACGATTATGATGACGGTAATGAAGACAATGGTGATGATGACGATTATGATGACGGTAATGAAGACAATGGCGATGATAAAGATTATGATGACGGTAATAACGACAATGGCGATGACGATTATGATGACGGTAATGAAGACAATGGCGATGACGATTATGATGACGATTATGATGACGGTAATGAAGACAATGGCGATGATGACGATTATGATGACGGTAATGAAGACAATGGCGATGACGATTATGATGATGGTAATGAAGACAATGGCGATGATGACGATTATTATGACTGTAATGAAGACAATGGCGATGACGATTATGATGATGGTAATAAAGACAATGGCGATGATGACGATTATGATGAGCGTAATGAAGACAATGGCGATGACGATTAGGATGAGGGTAATGAAGACAATGGCGATGAAGATTATGATGAGGGTAATGAAGACAATGGCAATGATGACGATTATAATGACGGTAAAAAAGACAATGGCGATGACGATTATGATGACGGTAATGAAGACAATGGCGATGATAACGATTTTGATGACGGTAATGAAGACAATGGCAATGATGACGATTATGATGACGGTAATGAAGACAATGGCAATGATGACGATTATGATGACGGTAATGAAGACAATGGCAATGAAGACGATTATGATGACGGTAATGAAGACAATGGCAATGTTGACGATCATAATTAATGGTAATGAAGACAATGGCGATGACGATTATGATGACGGTAATGAAGACAATGCGATGACGATTATGATGACGGTAATGAAGACAATGGCGATGACGATTATGATGACGGTAATGAAGACAATGGCGATGACGATTATGATGACGTTAATGAAGACAATGGCAATGATGACGATTATGATGACGGTAATGAAGACAATGGCAATGATGACGATTATGATCACGGTAATTAAGACAATGGCAATGATGACGATTATGATGACGGTAATGAAGAAATGGCGATGACGATTATGATGACGGTAATGAAGACAATGGCAATG